CCCAAGTGTTAACATCTACTTCCATGTCATCAATAGCATTATTATTAAACATCTTGTTTATGCCTATTATCATCCACCACTTCATCGACTTTCAAATAAAACTCATACAAGCTCACCAAATTATCTCTCATTTTTTTTGTTAGCAATTATGCTTTGTCATAATCATACAACTCACCAAGACAAAATTGCACATACTCCAACATAAGATGTGAATCCAAAACATTAGCCATATACAATAAAAAATTCTAATTTGCTCCACAACTCCAATACTTCTCAAACTTACCAATCATGTTCATTGCCATTCCACTCAAAACATTATCTCTACTTTTACACAATAGCAACAAGTTTGCATGCATATAAATCAATTCACTGAAGAAAGAATTTGATGTAACATGCAATGAGCTAGAAAATTTCAATGTAACCATGTAAAAGATCTTTAAAAACTTTAGCAAAGTTCTAGCATTTTCTCAATCCTCAAAACTAGGTGGCCCTAGATTTTTTTTATTCCCCTTTGAATTAACCTTCAAAAAGTAACTCACATACCTAGGTTCACTTTGACCTAACCTTAGAAACACCTTTTTAAACTTTTTAGCAGCTTTTAACATAAGATAAGTTGAATTTCATCGAGTTACAACATCCAAACACAATAATTTTTTATACTCTATATGTAACTTTTCTGCACACTTTTTAAATACAAGTAGCCTAGAGGGTGAAGATCTCATAAACCTAATTGTATTTCGAATTTTAACAACCGAAACATTCATCTCTTTCAAACCATTACATACAATAAGCTTTACAATGTGTGCACAACATCTAACATGCAAATATTCATTTGACAATATATTAGTTGGCCAATCTTTCTTACATTCTTTAAATATGAAATAGTAACACTATTAGAGCTTGCATTGTCTACTGCAATAGTTAAAAGTTTATCAATCCCCCAATCTAACAAACAATTCTCAATAACTTGACTAATTATCTCACTTATATGATTAGAAACTTGACAAAAATTCAGGATTTTTTTTATGCAAATTCCATTCATTATCAATTTAATGAGCCGTTGACGACATATAGTTAATGTTTTGGATTGATGTCCATGTATCTATTGTTAAGCATAATCATTGACCCTTAAGAGCTCTCTCTAATCATTCCTTCTCTTCACCATAAAGTTTCAAACAATCTCTCATAACAGTGAAACGAGAAGGAATGTCAAATATAGACTGCAAGGTCCTAGAAAATAATCTAAATCCCTTACCCTTTATAAAATTAAAAGGCAACTCATCAATTATAACTATTTTTGCTAGTTCCTTTCTGCATTCATCATAATCATAACTTATTTTCTTAAGAGTTTCGACATTTCAATCTCCTAATTCATCCCCTACTTTATGAGGTTCTAATACTAAATTTTTTTGTTTCGTATCAACCATAAAAGGAAACTTTTTGCATACTTTCAAATGACTCCACATATTACATGTCCTATTAATAATAGTATGACATGCATAATCCTTTTCACAATAATTACATTCAGCTCTAGGGGTTGTAGGATCACCATCAAGTTTTGTAAAATGATCCCAAATTTGTGACTTTTTTTATCATCAACATTTCTTTTCCTAGATGCAAAGACTTGAAGTTGTTTACCTTTATTTTCCATGGTAGATCTTGTAGTAGTTGATGTTGGGTTAGTGTTTGAAGTTGGGGCATTGGTTAATGTTGGGGTAGTGCTAGTGGATGAAGAATTTTGATTTTGAAGGTTTTCCATTTGTAATTACCAAATGCAAATATGTTCATTATTACTTGCACAATTCTTTTCAGCACTTAATAAACATAAAGATTAAAATCTTGTTTAAAAATTAAAATGAAACAAATATTACAGAAGTAACATGTCAAAACAAGCTTAGAAAATGGGTCAAAACAAGCTTATAAAATCTATCAATGGAGGAAAAATAATTATAGAAGTAATAGATCAACGAATACAAGAATAACATGATTTTAATGAATACAAAATTCCAATCAAGATCATCCAAAATAGAATAATGAATACATTTTACAGAATGACAAAACAAAATCGAATAAAAAAAACCTATCAAAACAAAACTAGTTTGCAGAATCAAGTCAAATAGTCAATCAACACAGGCTTATAAATATGATTTTAATTAAAGTACTTGGTGTAACCTTATAAATCAACCAACACAACAACAAAATCAACAATTTGTCTATTTTTAGTAATCAACCAACAAAGCAATGAAATCAACATAACAACAAGTTACAACAACAGAATCAACATAACAACAATAATAGAATCAACACAAGTTTACAGTAACAGATATTGAAATTATATTTACAAAACAACAAAATAAACTGTAAAATTACATGTAAGATTCTGAAATTACATGTACAAGACAACTCTAATCCTAAACTGCAAACAATTGTAAGAAGTAAGAATGATAATTTTGATTTAAAAAAAAATCATAATCCTAAACTGCAAACAATTGTAAGAAGTAAGAATGACAATATTGATTAAAAATAATTATAATCCTAAACTGCTAAATCCTTTCTATTCAAACAAGGAAAAAAAATTCGCTTTAATCACGCAAATAGCTCTAAATTCTAATTTAAACCTAAACCAAAATTCATCACTCAACAAAATTGATTAAAAATAACAATAAGCTTAATTGTATGAATTAATTAGAAAGGAGAAATTTTTTTTAAAACTCACTGGTTTTGAGAGGCTGAGGTAATTAGAAAACGTCGGTTTGATGGAAACACCGAGTCACTAACAATGTTGATCCAGTGGAGACTGAGGAAGAAATGTATAAATAATAAGCTTAACTATATTAAAAATAACAATAACCTTAACCGAATTAATTAATTAATTAATTAGAAATGAGAAAAAAAATTAAAACTCACTGGTTTTGAGAGGTTGAGGAAACGTTGGTCTGATAGAAACACAGACTATTTTGGTCGAGTTGAAACTGAGGAAACATCGATGGTCGATCTGTGTTTATGTTTTCTTAGTCTAAGGAGAGTGGAGAGGGAGAGGCGAAGAGGCGAGAGGGGTCGAGTTGCGGGTACTTTGGTACGAAGGCCAAAGAGGGCAAGAGGCGAGGGGGACGACGGGTGACTCTGAGTATTGAGAGGAGAGATTGTTTGAAAATTGTAATTGAAATGTTTAGGGTTAGGGTTAGTGGAGAGTAAACTGGAGAGAAGAGAGGGGTGTGGCACAACTTTTTCTATTTATACTAGCTTAGGGCTAGGGATCCTTTTCTGAACTGGTCCAGTCCGGTCCAGTTAAACCAGTTTCTGCACTACAAAACTGAAAACCGAACCGAATCGATGTTTTTTCTACATAATCTAGTTGGTTTAATTAGTTTTATTTTTTGGTTTGGTTTTTTTAATTAATTTTTTTTTTGATTTTTTTTGATTTTTTTTTAATATCCTTAATAACTTCCACTGGTCGACAAATATACGAAAATAAAACCCCCATAATAAGGTTTTTGTTTTTTTGGTCTAAAAGGAGGGATGTGCATGACAACGGAGAGTCTTGAGAAGTGCTCTGTGTTCCCTTGCAAGCAAGAAAATGAAAAGAAAAGAAAAAAAAATCCAACACATGGAGGAATGAAAATGCTAGGAAAATAGATGAATGGCATTGGAAGAGGCAAGTCAAGTTATTTTAGCAGTTAAGCAGTGAAAATGGAATGCATGAGCAAGTAGTTCATTAAATGGATGCAAATAAAAAGTAGCAAAGTAAAACGGCATTGCAAGTGACTAGTAAAATGAGAATAGTCAAGTGATAAGGTGTTACTTTATTTATTTTTAAATATAAATTTTATTATTTATATTTTTCAACTCATATATAAGTGTTGGTCAATTAAAAACCTTGAGTTGACTAGCTTTTCTATATCATTTGATGACTATTCAATATAATATTAAATAAATAATAGAAAATTTGAAACAAAATGAAAATATTTTTATCACACATATTAATTTTATATATTATATAAATATAAATATCAATCTAAATTGTGTTTTGAGATCAAAGAAAAATATTTAAAAAGATATTTTTAATTTTTTTAATATGTTTTATGTTGTGATGTTCAATAAACTTTTCAAAAAATAATGTTGACGAAGATGTGTTGGTGTACTATTTCATGGTAGAAATTGTAACTTTCTATGAATTTTTTATTTATCACTCAACAACGAAACTTTGCTTATTTTTTTTTAAAAGAATTGATGAATCAAATGATATTTTTGTTTTAATTTTTGCCTCTTCTTCTCCTGCTG